TGATAAAAGCAAGCACCATGTTTCTGGTTTCAATGACAAGTGGCTGACTGAGTTTTCATGGCTTAGAAATGTTAAAGGGGGTATAAGCAAAAGTTATTGTGAGTGGGGGTTTAATTTTTAACCCTGAAGAGGATAAAGACAAAGTTGGGGAACAGACTGTCCAACAAAATAACACTATCTTGAAACAATATCCCTAGAAGGAGCAGAGAGTAGAGATGAATATTTATATTTTGACTTCTTTAATTGACTGAATATAAATAACTTTTGTGTTTAAAATCAATTTATTTCATATATATATTCTTGTAATTCATTAATACTCTGCATTATTAAACACATAACACAAAGCATTATAATTCATATTGCATGTCATGATTTATGACTTATTGCTTCAGATCACAAACGTTCACTCTAAAAAAAGAGTTACGCGCCCTTGAATTTTGCGCCTTAAAAAAATCCTGGGGAGAACACTGTTATTACTACATAATACAGATTAAGTACGAAATTAGGTGGCAACACTTTTACCATTCTAGAGTTATGTTCCTTTATAAACATAAAAATTGCTGAATTTTTTAGTTTGTCTCAACCAAATGTTGTAAAACTTATACACAACCGTTTTAGAGTTATGCGTGTTTACAAATAGAAAAATTGCTGAATTTTTAGTTTCTGTTCTCAACTTAAGTTAGCTTCAACCAAATGTTATGAGACTTACACACAATGCTTATTACCACAAAACTCAGATCAAGTTCAAATTTGGGTAGCGTCACTTTTACCGTTCTTTAGTTATGTCTCTTTATAACTATGTGATATGCAAGCGGGGGCATCATCTGTGTCCACATGTGGACACTATCCACATTTTTTAAAAAAAATTTTAATCATATTCAGCAAACACTTTTCAAAAATGCAATAATATTGTCAAAGGAGAAGTAAACTTTTACCATGCAGGACTTAAAAGGAAGTACTTTATCGATTTTAGCCCACTAAAGAAGGTTAACATGTGGAAACCATGTAGATGGTGTACAGGTCACAAATATCACATGATGCCTACTATAAGATTTTAATTCCAAGTTAAAAGTTTTTAACTTTACCAGATTAACAATATATAGGAATTTGACATTGGAATTAATTGTATAAAACTGGAATTTCAAAACCAATAAGTACATTTTTTTGACTAAAACATCAAGAAACAACGATTATGGTATCCTGTATCAATTAAGAAAACGTGGAAATTTCTGAATAAATTGCACTATTTTTTTCAAAACAAACACATATTTAGGAGTTTTATAGTAATACTATTACATTTAAGACAGATTTTAACCAGAGATGCAAATCTAAATGCATAAGTATGCCAGTTGTAAATCAATACATGGAAACCGCCAATGTTGTATCCAGTTCAGTTGTATGCGTCACAATTTCATAGCTTTTCAAAAGTTTTATTTCCCTTCAGGTAAGTAGTGCCTGTTCACTGCCTGCATGGCCAATATATCAAAACACTTTTCTTTTCAACTTAAAAGTAACATTTTGCTTTGAAAATATGTTCACCTATGTCAAATTTGCCATAAAACATTGCATGAAATAACATGTCACTTTAATGTTGACATGTAAAATAAGCTTTTTACAGTTGCCCTTGCTGAAAGGAACAAGGGTTCTGTTTAATCTAAGGACTAGTGACTTTGAAGATCGGTCATAATTTGTATTGTATGATAAGAAGTTACGATCAAACTTGTGACCTTTAGAGAAACGAGCCCAATAGCCTTTTTGGTATATGAGGTTTTTGGTTATATTTCTGTAATCCATGGTACTTGTAATTTTCCTACAGTTGTAATGAATGGGTGTAAACAATTATAGGATTTCATTGAATTTCTATACAACCGCAAAATAATGTTTTGTATATGGAATCTTGTCTATCATGTCTATATAAAAAAAGAAGATGTGGTATGATTACCAATTAGACAACTCTCCACAAGAGACCAAATGACACAGAAATTTACAGCTGAGCTATAGGTCACTGTACGGCCTTCAACAATGAGCAAAGCCCATACCACATAGTCAGCTATAAAAGGTCCCGAAATCGCAAATGTAAATCAATTCAAACTTTTATTGGATATAAGAAGATGTGGTATGAGTGCCAATGAGACATCTCTCCATCCAAGTCATAATTTATAAAAGTAAACCATTATAGGTCAAAGTACGGTCTTCAACACGGAGCCTTGGCTCACTGGCTCACAACGAACAGCAAGCTATAAAGGGCCCCAAAAATTAATAGTGTTAAACCATTCAAACGGGAAAACCAACAGTCTAATCTATATAAAAACATGCAATTTTACAAAAAGCAAGGGACAGGGTGGATGTTACAAGATACTACTTATACTGTGGATAAAATGGACATCAAAATCATTAAGGATTGCATATTTTGGTATTAATATTGATTCAATCATAGGGTCTGTGCATCGGAAATAAACACATTAATTCTAAAACCAGTTGTTGGCATGATACAGGTTATGTTCTCATATATTTTATGATGGTATGATACTAAACCCCTATCGGGAGGGATTGTACTTGATTTTCATATGATGAAGACCTAAAATTTCAATCAATCAATTTAATTGAGGTTATGTCAGTAACTGCTAGTAGTCCTTTGTTCATTTATGTATCATTGTCATTTTGCTTAGTTTCTTTTGTTACCTATTCTGACATCGGACTTCTTTTAAACTGAGTTTTACTGTGCGTATTGCTGTGTGTTTCTTTTTTCTACATTGACTAGAGGTATAGGGGGAGGGTTGAGATCTCACAAAACATGTTTAACCCGCTGCATTTTTGGGCCTGTCCCAAGTCAGGAGACTCTGGCCTTTGTTAGTCTTGTATTTTTTTAATTTTAGTTCATTTATATGTTTTGGTGTGTGACGTCCGTTTTCACTGAACTAGCACACAATTTCATTTAGGGGCCAGCTGAGGACCACCTCCAGGTGCGGGATTTTCTCGCTGCATTGAAGACCCATTGGTGGACTTCGGCTGTTGTCTGCTCTTTGGTCGGGTTGTTGTCTCTTTGACATATTCCCCATTTCCATTCTCAATTTTTTTTATCACTCACATATTGGATGTTCCAAACATTAATATGTTTGTTGGATCATGCTTTTTGTTTTGTGTTCAATAAAATTTAAAATGTCCTGGATCTTTCCAATTGAATCAAAAGTGAGAGCTGAGAAAGTGCCTACCAACACCTCCATATATTCAGTTCTGGAACAGCCCTTTATAGAAAAATACATTATATAAGATAAGTAGCACTAGCTAGATCTCCCAGTTTTCACAGTGCTTGAATTTTCTGGTTAGTGACGCATAAGCACAAAGTGTAAACCATGCAATTGTGTTACAGAGCTAGCTAGCACACTGCATTGGGTTTCTAAGGGTTAGTAGGCACATGTGCTACATATAAAAGTGTATAAGAATTATAACAAAAAGCAAGGGAACATACATTGGTAGTCAAAATCAGTAGATGCAAGTCTGCACCCAAAAAATAATTTATTATAGTGACATCCTTGTTTCTATATTCTCATAGTTTTTATTGTCTATTGGAAAAAAAATATCAAAAACAGTCCTAAATTTAAAAACCAAAATTATAAGTAACATTATCAAGAAAAAGTTTACTGTTCAGATTATTTTAAGCTGATTTTCCTATAAAATAAAACGTAAAAAAATGCTTTCGGTTTCTTATGGTTTCTTGTCACGTTTAAAAAAAACCTTAATTTAACATTGAAAATATATTTTAAATATTAACATGAAGCAAGTAACACTAGTAATGATGTTCATTTATGTCTTTTGAAATAAATTGTGCAAAATAAAGAAAATAAAGTTTGCTTCCTGTTTGGTATCCTGTCACGAAAAACGGTGAATCAAAATGGATTAATTTTTTTCTCGAAAAAACTACTTGTTCCATTAATACTATTCTCACACCAACACAACCCACAGAATAAAAGTTAAAGTTTTAGAACTTAAAAAAAAAGATACAAAAAGAAACCAAAGGCCGAATACCAAATTATTGCCCATATATATAAACTGTAAGCAGCAATAATGTTCAGCAAAGTAAGATCTACAAAAAAGTTAACATGACCATAATTGTCAATTGACCCCTTAAGGAGTTATTGACTTTTAAAGACAATTTTACACAATTTGTTCAAGTTTGCTAACATTTAAAAATCTTCTCCTCTGAAATACAGGTGAGCGATTCAGGCTCTTGAGAGCCTCTTGTTTATTAATTACATGTATCACCATTTTATGAATTTTCTATTCATCAATTGATGCACGTATATCAAGGAAAATAAATGTATTTTTTCCATTTGTTTCTTAACATCTGTTTCTAGAAACAATTATATTTTCTTCCTTTATAACAATAAAAACCATGGTCGAAACGACAACAAAGTATGACCGAACTGGCTGTATGGCCGAAACGAATGTAGCCAAACTAGCAGTGTGGCCGAAACGTCCTGTATCTGTTGGGGACACAGGCACTTGTCTCTGAAATTTTTTTTATACATACCTTGATATAACTTAAGGTACCCTACTGACATTTTTCAGAAATGAGTATTATGACTGTCATGAATTTTTTATATATTTCGATTCAGTGGTTGTCTATCCCACCGAAACTTGTTATGTCGTAGATCTATATTGAATTATCTACAAAATGATGTATGACACACTTATTTCTGTTGTCGAAATCGTTTGTAGCAGGCCTACCATAAATTTGTCATTTTACAGTGAAAAGTCTGGAGTAAATTATTTCCCTTTATTAAGACTTCCAGGCTAGGTGTAACATAAAAAATTGAAATACTGTCATGACTGTCCGAAACAATATTTCATCATGAAATATTGTCATTCTCTGTGTTATTATATATGCAATATGTCAGGACAATATTTTACTGTGAAATACTGATTAGCAAAAAGAAAAAGATTTTTGACATGAATTCTATAATAGTCTTCAATGTTTGAAATGAATTTTAATATTTCAGTTACCATTTCCAGTGATTGGTTCGCTGAACGGAGTTCACATGTTTGGTATAAACCAGGATGTAGAGTTGTTAGCTTCCACAACTGATGATGCTAAAGTTATTTGGAAAGTTTTTCACGAAAGGTAAAGCATTAAACCCAGATAACAATCAAATGAAAAATTTTCTGTGTCCAAGCCTTTATAGAATAGAAGTGTAACTACAATAGGTTAAAGTCATGAAACTTAAGGTAGATCATCGGTATATATTTTTTGAGATAGAATTTTCTTATACTTTGCCAAAATGAAGATTTTACTATGCTTTTTTCAAAAATATAATAAAAAGTATGGGTCACCGTGCTATTTTTCAAGCTATGGGTCGTTGAAAATTGCCTAAATCAGGTTAGATTGTTCATGAAAAAACACATTTGTATGCATAAAAAGAAATCTATGAGATAGAATTTTGAAATAAATTGTGAGAAGATAGATTTTATAACATGTTTTAAGAAAATAAAAAGAAAAAATGGTGTCACCGAACTTGTTTTCTTGCTACAAGTAAAAATAAAAAATTTCCCTATCAAGCCAGTGTAATTTTTTACTAAAAGAGTTATCTCCCCTTAAATGGCTTAGTTGAAAAAAATGATTCCAAAACACAAAATTTAATATTTGTTGGAATATTTTGAATAATACAATAAATCACTAAGTTTTCTTTAAATAAATAAACAGTGTGACAAATAAATTGCAAATCTGTCTCCTAATTTGCAGATTTGGGCAAATAACTAGACCGATTGTGTACTGCGATTGTACAATCCAAGATGGCGGTATACCATGAATCTACCTTAAATTAAAAAAAAAGTTGAATATGTTTTTTGTACTTGAATGGCTTAGTATTACTATAAAACAAGTGTATGTGAACAGAATGTAAAGAAAATCCTTATATTATCAAAATCTTCATAAATGTACTGCTATTGAATAATTGTCTTCCCATACTTTAATTCACCAATATTTTCCTGTGTGCAATGACTTTTAACTACAAGACCTCATTAGAACTTCAGTCAAGTGTGTGGGGAAAACCGTGATGAAGGAATGTAATCAAATGTGCACTGAAAAGTAAATAGTAAATTGTAATAACTGATTCTTAAAACACAAAATTAAATAAATCAAAACATTTAACAACTGATAAGGAAAAGTTTGATTAACAAATGGGAACGCATGGAAAGTATGAAAAAATATCATGGCTCTATCAATTCACGTGCTCCACATGCTCCGTGTTAAATTATTTATCAATGCCTTGATCTGGTAAGGGATGACATCAAAAGTTCAAAGTAGGATAAAAAACTTAATTCACATAGTTTTTTCACTGACATAATTTTATAAATACTACAGTCAGAATGGATTATGCATTTTTCATCTGCCCACTATTGGCATGTTTAAATAGTGGGTTTATGGTTTTTGTCTCGCCTTGACGGAGTCGAAAAGCGAGACATAGGTATGCTGTTTTCTGCGGCAGCAGCGGCGTCAACAATGTATTAGTTTGTGATTAGGTCTAGTTCATGGTGAACCACTAGTGGTAGGTCAATGATATTTGGTATGCAGTTGTATTAGCATTGGCACATCTCATTACCATGGAGACTATTTGGCCCGGCCCCTCTGGTCAAGGTCTATTGACTTTGAAACTTTTCATAGTTTACATGTATTAGTTTGTGATTAGGTCAATTTATGGGGAAACCACTAGTGGTAGGTCAATGATATTTGGTATGCAGTTGTATAAGCATTGGCATATCTCATTTCCATGGAGATTATTTGGCTCCACTTCCTTAGTCATGGTCTATAGACTTTGAAAATTTTGCCAAGTTAACGTATTAGTTTGTGATTAGGTCAGTTCAAGGGGAACCATTAGTGGTAGGCCAATGTTAATTGGTGTTCAGTTGTATAAGCATTAGCACATCTCATTTCCATGGCGAATATTTGGCCCCACCCCCTCAGTCATGGTCTATTTACTTTGAAACTTTTTCTTAGTTTACATGTATTAGTTTGTGATTAGATCAGTTTAAGATGAACTGCTAATGTTAAGGCAATGATATTTGGTATGCTAATTTATTGGCATTTGCAAGTATCTTTCCCATGGAGATTATATATATAGCCCCACCCCTGATCATGGTTCATTGACTTTGAAACTTTTACATATTTTACAAGTTAATGTTTGTGTTTAGGTTTGTTTAAAGGGAACGACATATAATAAGTCAATGGTATTTTGTATGCAGTTGTATTAGCATTGGAACATCTCATTCCATGGAGATTGTTTAGCCATGTACCTTCAGTCATGGTTCATCGACTTTGAATATTTGCATAACTTACATGTTAAAGTATTGCTATTTTAATTTCAACATTTGCATTATCAAAATTACAAAAAGGCGAGACATATCTCTGTGATAACAGTTTATATATGATTGTTTTTGTTTCTTTTCTCAAATGAATATAAAACAGTTCATTGTTTCATATAAAATATATAGCTTTAAACTAAATAGTGGTCTTTGAAATGTATGGTGATGACAGGGCAGTGCATTTGTGCCAACTGTGGAGAGAGGGAAAAGCACAATCCCAAATGAATGTAGTGAATGTGATATATAATCTATGTAATTTCTATTCAATGTCTGTTGTCCACTGTCATATTTTTCTACTATCTCAAAAAATTCTATATAACTTTCAAATTTTTATTTGAATTTATATTTCAGTTTTCATTTTAATAATTAAATAATTAACACAATTCAAAGAAAATTTTATAGTTTGTTTTTAGAATGCCACCATGCCGTGTGGACCAAAACAATCTGTGTTGATCTGTATATGGTTTCATATCATTCAAAATTCACGATCGATAAAGCGTTTGAACGACATAGATACTATGATTAAAATCGCCCCAATACTTTCGACCAAAAATTTGCTTTCAGGTATGATTTGATGGCATTCATTTGGTTTAAAAGTCCAAACATATGGTAGGGCTGAACTTGAATGGATATTTTTCAATCTGAAAATTGATGCCGGATAACAAAACTTGCAGCAATTTTTACTTTGATATTGAACTTCCATAAAGAAATGGAGAACCACAATTGACATGTTGTCCTCAATCAAAACATAATTATAACGGTTTCTTTATGTAATTAAGCGCATGCGTAGTTTTCTTGACCTTGAGAGGCATCAGAATAAATGGTTGCTCTGGATTCCCCACTCCATTGATTGTTTTGCAACTCAAGAGATCCTTTCTGTAGTTATATACGCTATCAAATGGCGATCCAATGGTGTCCCCCAAGGTTCTATACTTGGTCCTCTATTGTTTGTGCTATTTATAAACGACCTTCCCTTATGCATTGAAAATTGTGAAACAGACCTATATGCTGATGACACCACTCTTCATAAATCAGGGAAAAACATAGAAAATATACATGATGATGTTCAAGAAGATTTATACAGGGTTGAAGAGTGGTGCAAAATGAATAACATGTTCATTAATGCAAATAAAACAAAATGTTTGGTTACTGGAACAAAGCAGAAACTATCAATTCAGACTTATCAACCAAACTTAATAATAGATTCAAAAGTATTACAAAATTCTTTATGTGAAAAATTATTAGGTGTTAAAATTGACAGCACACTTAACTGGAGAAATCAAATTGACCAAGTTTGTGCTAATATATCATCCAGAATATACCTTCTTTCTAAAATAAAGAAATTTTTAGATATAAATGCAAGGAAAACATATTACAATGGGTATATTCTGCCCCTGATTGACTACTGCTGTATTATTTGGGGTGAATGTAAAAATGAAGGGATAGCAAGAATTTTAAAACTCCAAAAAAGGGCAGCAAGATTAATTCTAGATGCAGTTCCTTTATCCCCCTCAGCCCCCTTATTTAAAGAACTTGGGTGGATGACAGTTGACAATAGAATAAAATACCACAAATATTTACTTCTATATAAATGTATGCGTATGGAAGCACCAATGTACCTAGTTCAAAAGTTTAAACTGAAATCAGATAATAATCCTTACTCCCTGAGAGGCGTCACTCAAGGTAATCTGATAGTTCCTAAGCCAAAAGCTGAGCTATTTAAGAAATCTTTTGTTTATTCTGGATCAGTGTTATGGAATGGACTACCACACAAAATGCATAAAGCTCACAACACTTATACTTTTAAACAAAGCATCAAGAAGTACTTAACACAGTCCTGATAAGATTATGTTTTCTACAATGTATTTGTATATTCTTTTATTTTTATTTATATTTGATTTTTTGACTACATGTACATCTTGAACAGCCTTATATCTTATCATGTTAGTAATATTACATTGAACTAATTGACTGTAAATTAACTATGTGTAAATATCTGTTTTTGATTGTATTGTAATTTGTATGTGAGGGCCTCAGGGAAGATTAGTTTATTGTAACTAACTGAGTTTACCCTCTTTAAATAAAGAATTTATTATTATTATTATTATTATCATATCCCTCAGAGTGATCAAGCTCTTTGATTTTACATTCTACAATGAATATTTAGTCAGAAGGTAGTGAATGTATATGTCATGTGACTCATTTATGTGTCTGATTTAAAGATACTAATGGGAGCTTTCAAGCATTTAAAAAAGTGGGAGTACCCTTTGAAGACTAAGGTTAGGTAAATGGAACCTCACGCTTTGAAAAGTGTAAATTCTCCCTTTGTAATCATTATTTCACTATCAGTAACTGTTTATACAATATCTAGTACCAAAGCCACCTGGGGGATGTTTTAGCAACCTTCATACACTTATAACATTCTCTGACCTTGCCCTTTGTAATCATTATTTCACTATCAGTAACTGTTTATACAATATCTAGTACCAAAGCCACCTGGGGGATGTTTTAGCAACCTTCATACACTTATAACATTCTCTGACCTTGCCCTATGTAATCATTATTTCACTATCAGTAACTGTTTATACAATATCTAGTACCAAAGCCACCTGGGGGATGTTTTAGCAACCTTCATACACTTATAACATTCTCTGACCTTGCCCTTTGTAATCATTATTTCACTATCAGTAACTGTTTATACAATATCTAGTACCAAAGCCACCTGGGGATGTTTTAGCAACCTTCATACACTTATAACATCCT